CATTTAAGCACTTGCAAGTAATTATCATACCAAATAAATCACCACTCTACAATAGAGTGCTACTAATTTGATAACACTTTCTCATAAAGAAGTAAAAAAGAAAAAAAAAAGAGTGAAAGTAAAATAAAAATGTGAAAAGTAAAAAAAAATATATGAGAAAATAACTAAAATATAAAAGAATTAAAAAAATTATTTTAAAATCTAAGAGAACTTGTTTATAGATATAAAAACCTGCTAACCAAGTAAAAAATTATTTACATGGTTATAGAAATCTATATATATGACTTTGAAATATTGCATATCTCTAATATATTGCTCTAACTTGCAACTCTTGATTAAATCTATTTTGAATTCTAGAATGTCAATTTTAAAGCCTCAACACGTAATCGTCAGTTTTGTTTATAATAGACTACTCTTTCTGTATTACAAAATCCTCTTACAGTTTTTTTTCAAACCTTATTTTTTTGCTATATGAGATTAAACAGAAGGTCTTTCCTATAGTTTACCAGTATCATTAGAAGCTATTTTCTTGAGTCTGTCATATAAGGCCTTTATTCTTGTATAGTCAAAATTCGCTAAATACAGGGCTCTATGTACTTCGATTTAACCCAAACAAACCTTCCTTCTCATATATGATTGTTGTGTTTCTTATCTGTTATATCGTAACTCAAGACTTTTTGAAAATAAAAGTGATAAACAATGCTGATCTTTTGGAGGGAAGTAACCAAATCCTCTACTTTTGATAAAAATTATAAAAAAAGAAAGTGACAGGAGAAAAATATAGTTTTGTGAGTTTTCTAACCAAAGAAAGTTGTTCTAAGAGTTCTTTGTAGTCTTCAGTTTCTAACATAACTTGAGTATTCTTTCTACTTACTGTTTCCAGAGACTTCTTTAGTTTGGATGCCAAATGCAAAAAGGAGTCTACCCAAGAAAAAAGAGTTTAACCTCTTTGCAAACCGTCCAAAATGTCTGCTTCTCAGTGTATCATATTAAAGACTTTATTAACAACAGTTTGTATTAAAAAAACTACAAGTTATTTGTTCATTTCTGGTCTTGAGTCTTCTATTTGCTTTCAGGTACTAGTTGGTACAAGAGAGAGTGAAAAAAAAAAAATCAATATTTTAATTTTTAAATTATATTATTTTTAGTTCTGTTTTTAAGTAAACAGTTGTAAACAAAATCTAAAAACATGAAATATGAAGATACAAGCATAATTTAGATGATTTTCTTGGGATTAAACTTGTTTTTTGCTTCAGTAAACTCTTCAAGATATTTGGTATCCAAATCAGAAAGTTTATTCAGAAAACTAAACTTATCTCTAAACAGATTGCTATTAATAAAACTTGAAAGATATAAAATACCAAGAAGCAGATATAATTAAAGTAGTTTTTTTTGATATCAAGTTTTAATTATCTGCTTGATAAACTCTTCAGAATATTTGGTATTCAAACTAGAAGGTTTATTTTAGAAGTAAGTAATAGTTAGATTTTTATTAAAATAGTATAATCTTGAAGAATCAACTATACAACTATAAAACTTATAGAAGAACTTCATATATTTTTATTGACTTCTCACTTTTTTCAAAGAATATTTTGTAAAAAAGTAGGTGATTTAGTTTATCTCTCCAAAAGATCAACATATTGTTTATTTACTAAATCAGGCAGTATTATTTACTTTTTATTTGTTATAATAAATTTATAAATATATAAAATATGAATATATAGATTATATGCTTCAAATATAGTGATCTAGACAAACAATGCTCTAAGCCTAATAGTGTGAATTTCTGATCTTTCTATAGTACTAATATTGAAAAACTAATTTTTTTTTAGTTAGAGTTTTTTGCTTAGATATATTAATTGTCACGGCTGATGCTGACTTTTGGCTGATATTGAATTTAAAAAATTCTATTGGCTAAATTTTGCAAATCACTCTAACCCTAACCAATCAGATTAATTAAATTCAGCATCAGCCAAAATTTAGCATTAGCTGTTACATTAATTATATAAATTAATATAAAGAATAGTTTAGATAATAATACAGTATATAATTTTTATAAAACTCAACACAGGCTTATAATTATGACTATACAATATAAATAAAAAATCCTATATTTAGTTTATTTTTTTACTTTTTCCTTACTCCTTTTTTTTCTTATTTGTTTTTTTATATATTTCTTTATACTTTTATATTTTTTTATAAAATTTTTTTTCTTTTACTTCACTATAAGAAAATGTTATTAGATTGGTGATATTCTATTGTAGAATGGTAGTCAAACAAGTTTTTAAAAGATATTATCTTTAATTAATCATATTTTGCTAGTATGATAAATTACCTGTGGGTGTATGTAGATAATTAGTTAAATTATATATATAAGACAATTGCAGATATCAGATCTCAATTTTATTATTTTATATTCTTTACAGAATTATAGCTTGAATAAATACAAGATATTAATATTATCTACCAAAGTAAAGTAAAATAATTATGACTGTTTAGCTCTTTTTCTTTCTTTTTTTAATAGTATTTTCTTTATTTTTTTTTCTTAATTATATATTTTACTATATTTTTTATATCTTTATTTTGTTTTATATATAGATTTTTTTTACTTTTCTACAAGAAGATATTATCAGATTGACAATATTCTATTATAAAGTGATAATCAAACAAGTTATTTCAGGTTGGTGATTTATTTGGTATGATAATTACTTGAAAGTGCTTAAATGATGAAGAAATACTTTACAAATATTAATTTTGGTTATACAGTATATAGCTTATCAATAAAGTAATTGCAAAATATTAGGTCTAGATTATATATGCTGATAAAATTATTTTGAGATTTAACCCTGAAATTAAAATTTGAAAACAAAATTGTTTTTGATCTATTTTATTTAAAAGACAAAATTTTTGATATTTTTTTTGAAAAGATAAAATTATAAAGAATATAACTATCTAAATTAGATTTGCTCTTGTATATAAAAAATTCTAATTTGCTTTAATAAAGACAAAATAGGGTTTTTTTAAAGAAAATTTATAAATTTATCCCTGTGTTTAAAACACGGATCGACAGTATTACAAATTTTTAATATATAACATAGTACAAGCATTTGATATAATATGATTATATTTACATAATGCGGGTACAGCTAATCAAAATAAAAATTATCAGTTATTAATATCTTTATTTCTCTTTTTCATTCTTGCTTTTTTATGCATGTTTGATAAGCATTTGCATTCGGTAAATTAGTATTAATACGAACAAGTCTCACTATGAAAACTTTTCTTTTGATACCAATATTCAATATACTAATATTTTGACTCCTGAGTTTCACATGATTATTCTTCTTGCTGTTTCATTTTTTCTGCTTTATTTAGCTATATGTAGTTTAATTGAGATTTTTTTTCTGCATCTTTTTAGTTATATGACCCCAATACAAACAAATCTGATCAAAAAAAAATATATACATCGATTCAAAATAGCTCTATTTTATTAGAGATTCGTAGTTTTAGTATTGTTCTATCCGTGTCTTCATTTCATTAAACATTTTCCAATATGATTTTTTTTTTTATAGCATCTCAGAAGCTTTATGAGTTCAAAAATGCAAGAGAATCTAACCAGGTAAATAATTACACTTTGATTCCATATGCTTCAACTTCGGATGTTTGTATAATTGTTTCGTATGCTCCAGAGGTTCATATGATTATTCTAGTTTCATTCTATCCATATTTCTACAACTTTAAATATCATCTAATCAGACTTTTTTTTTTTTTTGTGGTTGATATCTCAATAGCTTTATGAATTCAATACGGAAGAATTTGATCAAGAAAATGCTTACACTTCAATTCTATATGCTTCTACTTCATCAGAGGATCATGTAGTTGTTCTAGTTTCATTTTATTTGCATTTCTTTCTCTCTTTAAATATTATCTAATCAGGCTTTTTTTTTGTATCTCAATAGCTTTATGAACCTAATGTGGATGAATTTGACCAAATAAATATTTACAATTCAATTTCATATGCTTCTACTTTATCAGGAGATCACGTGGTGATTCTGATTTTATTCCATCTGCATTTCTATCTCTTTTAATATTGTTTAATCAAGGCTATTCTTTCTTTTCCCTTTTTATGATATTTCTATAGCTTTATGAACTCAATTCAAGTGAACTCGACCAAGATAATACTATTCTATACGATCCTATTTCATCGGATGTTCAAGTGGTTGTTCTTTCATGATTTTATTCTATCCATATTTTGTCTTTTTGCATGTAGTCTAATCAGGCCTTTTTTTTCTTGTGGTATCTCAACAGCTTTATGAATCTTAACAGTTTTATGAATTTAATGTAAATGAATTTGACTATATAAATACTTACACTTCAATTCCATATATTCCTATTTTGTTGGAAGATCACGTGGTTGGTCTTGTTTCATTCTATCTGTATTTTTATCTTCTCAAATGTTGTCTAATCTTTTTTTTTTTTTTTTCTTTTTTATGATATTTAATAGCTTTATGAACCCAATACTGATGAATTCGACCAAGATAATTCTTACACTTCGATTTCATATGTATCTACTTCATCAGATGTTCACATGGTTGTTCTCATATAGTTTCACTCTATCCTTATTTTTGTCCCTTTGCATATTGTCTAATCAGATTTTTTTTTTTTTGTAATATATTAATAGTTTTGCGAATCTAATACGGTTGAACTTGACAAGGAAAATGCTTACGTTTCATATTCTTCTATTTCATCCAAGATTTATTTTATTGTCCTAGTTTCATTCTATCTGCACTTGTAAATGTCAACTAATAAAGCAATTTTTTGGTACTCAATAGGTTAATAAGTTTAATATGAATGAAAATACTCAATATATTTTGAGGGTTCAAATGATTTATCTAGCTGTTTCATTCTATCTGTTCCTATCAAGATGAATTATACTAAACAAAGGTTTTTGTATATCTTAATAGCCTAATGAATCTTATATGAATGATAAAAACATTCAAGATATTTCTATTTTACATGCCCTGACTTCATCGGAGATTCAGGTGATTATAGTTGTTTTGTTCTATCTGCATTTTCATTTTTCTATATATTATTATCTAATCAAGAACTTTTTTGTGATATATCAATAGCTTTATAATAATGATTCAAATGATAATGAATTAAATGAATCAAATAATCTAACAGATTCTTCGGGATTGATTGAATCAAATAACCCAACAAATTCTTCAGAATTGACTAAATCAAATAACTCAACAGATTCTTCGGAATTGATTGCTGGACTTCCTTTTCATACATGGCAAGAATTCAAGGCTTGAATATATCATTTTGTATTAAAAAAAGAGTTTAATTATAAGATCAAATCGAGTAAAATAATTGAAGAAGTAATGTGAAGAGCCATATACGAATGCATCAAATCTGGTCCAAATATTCCACAAGTTATATCAGATCCAACCAAATGTCGCAATACTTATTCTCAACAGGCCAAGTGCCTCTAGAAACTCAATATTACTTGTTCGAAAACAACTAACATTATAAAAATTAATACATTTAAGAATGAACATAATTACCTACTTACTCCAATAATACGTGATATGGCCTCACAATTTCGAAAGCTAACACCAGATATGATGGCAGATATAGTAAAGTACATTGTTCAAGAACGAATAGACTCTGGGTCTATATATCCGTTGCTTAAACATGATTACCCGAATCAATCTATTTATAAACAAAACTTGTATAATGCAGTTTATTAAGCTCATCAGAAAAATAATCCAGGAGATACAGATGCTTCAAAAATATTACAGTTATTACTAGAATAGAAAGATTCAGATCTGCTTTGGGTGGTAAAAATTCAATTAGAGCCAGTTTCAAAAAAATTAGTATCACTTTTGTGGATGTCTTCTGTACAAAAGAAACTATATAGAAAATATAATAACGTTGTAATCATAGATACTACTTATGATACCAATCAGTTTCGAATGATGCTTTGTGTCGTAGCTATAATTGATAATAATTATAGGAGTAGAATAGTAACATGTGCTCTTATTGAAGATGAAATATTGGATACATATCAGTGGATTTTTGATAATATTTTTACGAAAACGAGTATTTCACCTGCAGTTATATTTACAGACTCGGATTCTTCTATGATACATTCGATCAAGGATATTTATTCTGATACTCTGCATTTATTGTGTATTTTTCACATTGATTTAAATATTCGAAAGAATCTTAAAGGAAAATTGGGCAGTCAGTTCGAAGAATTTCGTCGCAAATTTTATACATGTCGAAATTTATTATATAAATGCCAATTTGAGCTTCGATAGAAACAATTACTTAATCAATACCCTGCGGTGACAAAATATTTATCTGATACACTTTATGTTTGTAAGGAATCATGAGCAATATCTTGGATGCATAAGTGTTTTACGGCTAGCACACAGAGTATACAAAGGATTAAATTAATTAATAAATATATATATGATAAAGTTAATCGCTCTACATCACTATGTGACTTATTAATGAGTATGAGAGATTATGTAAAAAATGAGAAGCACCTTGAAAGATTTGATATAGAGAAAAATAGTTTTCTAATGATCGGCATGCCGATATTAAATATGAGGTTATTTAGTAAGATTGATACTGTTATTAAGGATTTTTTAACACTTGTGATTCTTGAAAAACAAAGATCACAGATAAACCAGTCCGTATGCTATGATGTTATTAGAGTTACTGAATGATAACAATTAATCAACATGGAAGCAGATAATAAAGAGATAAGTGAAGTTAGGGAACAAGAACAAGATTCACAGCAAATCCTTTTTAGTTTATTAATTACAAGTATATGTTACAACTCAATTCTTGAAGTATGGAGTATACGTGCTACTGGAACTCAAGAAATAGGCCATTATGTAGTATTACTTGATGAGGGTACACATTTATACACTTGTCTTTTATTAATTAATAAAGGATTGATATGTCGATATTTTTTCCATGTTGGTACATATTCTCAGCATGCCACCTTCCACATAAGTTTAATTTCTAATCGATAGTATTTGAATCCTAATATCTCACCAAATGATTTATTACAACAAAATCTTTCTATTGCGGTTTGTAGTATCCCACGGTTAGAAAACAACATGTTATTCCAGAAAAGTATTAACTTCCAGCACTTTTTTTTAGTTCGAGTCAATTTATCTGGTTGTTCTCAACCACTTGCAAAGTTAAACAAAGCTGTGTATACAGAGTTGTTTAGTTTATCAAGAAAAGCTATCGATTGTGCTATTAAAGCCAATTTGCAAAATGAATTGCTAACTACATTAAAGATTTTTCTTCACGATGCTCAAAAAAAAATAAACAATCAAGAAACAGGAAATCACTTGGCCGTTAATAATCTAGCTATTGTTAAACATAGAGGAAGACTTCTAAAAAGGCTCAAGTCAAACATTAAAATAGATAATCATAAAGAAAAACAAATCTTAAAAAACTGTACAAATGCCAAAAATAATACTACAACAAATATATTAAATAATACAAACGGACGAAAATGTAGAAAGTGTAAACAGTATGGACATTATGCAAAAACCTCTCAAGTTATAAATCAGTAATATTTGTAATATTAACTAGATAGGTTAGATATTTTTATTGATATATCAGAGCAACCTTCTTTTATATTTTATTTTTTTTTGCAGACTTGATTTTCAAGTTTTTTATATACTATACGTATATTATTCTTATTTTGTTCTGTATTCACCTGTTTTTATATCATATACTTCTGAATCTTTGATATTCTGATTCTAGCTTTAGAAATTTCTATATTACGAATGTTTGAAACTAAGATATATAGTAGAGTGCTGGAATTCTTATATCTTGAATTATAGCAGATCTGATTAGATATTATTTGGTCATTTTTATAATCATACTAGGCAAAGATATGGGATGATTAGTTTAATAACGGCTTGTTTGTATAAGTATGTAATACAAATATTCAAAAAATTTGTACTATTTTTAAGAACTGTTCGTAGATAATCAATTCCGGGATATTTAAATATAAAGGCTGATAAAGACTGCTCCAGGGTGTAGAGTCAATTTACTATCACGTGATGGCAAAAAAACAAATGTTGTTAAGATAAAAACTTGGGTTAGAGTTTAGGCTAATGTGAGGTTAAAGTTAGGAAGAACAAATAATATAGCAAAATCACACAAGGAAATTTTTTTGTTAGGACCCCAAAGATGGTTTACTAGAAGATAAATATGATTTTTGCAAAGCAAATGTTTGAATTTCTTCACGTTACACCTGTTCCTGATCTTTGATTGGTTGATAGACGTCAAAAAATCATGTAACAGTAAAATCGATCCTATGCCCTGGCATAGTCAGCTGATTAGTTACACAATAGATTATATATTATATAGTATATATAATATATTTTATATTGCAGTCACGTGATACATGTTTGAAACACCCGTGTACAAATATAAATTGCCTTTTTTGAAACCTATTTTGATAGCATATATAATTAGGGCTAAGATTAAAGTTAGAGTATTGGTTAAAATTATGTAACAAATATCAAATATTTTTTATTAACTATACAACAGAAGTTATTTTAATACAATTTTAAGATACATAAAAATTTATTAAATACACAATATAGAGATATAGTGATATAACAAAGTGATTAAGTTGTCATTTTTCAAGCAACAAATTAAGAGTTTGAATTTTATTGATAATAAAAATTTGAAAATTTTGCTTGTATTATAGCTAACTGCATTTAGTCAATTAGTTAGGATTATATATGCCACTGAAATAGGGTTTCAAAAAATTCTATTTTTCTTCTTAATTAGAGCAAATTAAATTTTTTTATATATACCATATATTGCCAAAAGTAAGCCATCTCCGAAAATAAGCCACTTTTCTTTTTTGGAAGAAAAACGTAAAAACGTCTTACGATCATCAGTAGTTACTCTATAGTAAAGTCAAAATTTTACTACATAAATCGACATAGCTTATTAAGTGAAAGTTGTTCAGGAGATCAAAATACATATATTTTGAAAGTTTCATCCAAATTG